CTGGTCGGAGAAGAATGAGGCCGTGGCTGAGGAAGTGAAGGAGATACGGGACATGGTGAAGGGATTAACGAGACAGGTTACAGAGATTGTGACCGGCACAGGGGCCACGGCCTATCGGGACAAACCTACAGGACCCTATTTACTTCGCTGGGACCGTAGGAACAACGATCCCTGGAGGAGTGTCGAGGATAAAAATCCTCGGACGCTGACTGATTATCGTACGAGGGGAAGAGAGAGAATCATAGCGACGTAGGGACGATGAGATAGACCGAGACCGCAGAGAACGCGAGTTGTTCGTGCGAGCAAGGAAACCCTCGCTATGAGGCCGATCGGGGTAGAGGCGACTCCCGCGGCCGATGGGAGACAGAACAGGGCCGACGAGATGGATATAGGGACGACAGATACGAGAGATCGGACCAAGATGGATATAGGGACGGCATATACGAGAGGTCGGGTCGAGATGGCTACAGAGGAAGTAGATATGAGAGAGGAGATCGGTGGGAACGACAAGATGGGTCGCGCGGACGGTTTGAGCGCGGGGGAGAGGCGAGAGAGCAGCGCGACGAGTCGCGGGGATGGAACAACCGAGGGGACCGACGCGATGAGTCACGAGGACGATATGGCTCGGGGGACCGCCAGAATGATTCACGAGGCTGGTATGAGCAAGGAGAGTCTGGAGGAGACCGTCGCAACGATTCGCACGAACGGAATGAGAGAGGGGGATATGGCGTCTCATCAGAACCATATCCTAAGTCGCCTGACCCCAAGGCGGCCAAGAGTTCGATCTCTAGAGGCGCAGACGACAGACCATCTATTCCGAGGAACTCATGCGTCTACCGCAGAGGAGAAGATCATATCAAAAGGGATTGCCGGGGCCTCAAACGGGCAATAGATGAGGGACTTGTCGTGCTTGACGACCGCAAGTACGTCAAGTGGGCAGATGATCTAGGAGATGTATCGATGTTCCCTTCGATGAAGGAGAATGTTAAAGCAAGGAGAATAAAGACGAGTAAAGGAATGGAGTCGGTCAGGAGCCAGAGCATCAAGATAACCTTTGAGGGGGATATCGCGACCACACCCATAAGGGTGGCAGCCACCAAGTCGGCAAGAGGGTCTACATCGAAGAAGACTGACACGGATTACGAGATGGCGGAGAAGGACGGGCAGCGGGTCGATGGAGAGGAGGTTATCCTTTCGCCGCGAAAGCGGGGAGTGAAGAAGTTCTTAATGAAGAGTTCGCTGGACGAGATTGACACGGTCGAGCCACTGAGGCGGGCCCTTCGGTAACCHATGCAGTGCTCTATTCTGGAGTACCTGGCGGCATCGAAGCCGGCTCGTGATGAATTACAGATGATCACGCGGAAGACTCACATACCTCTATCAGAGGAGGGTCAGGGGGCCCCTAAAGCGGAAGCTTCTACAGTAGCAGTAACGGAGGGGACTGCCAGAGCGGATCGCATAGCGACAGTCCTTCTCGATGGGATGGAAGGTGTGCCTCCAGACAAGTTTTATATACTTGGTAGCGAGGTCGTGGAGACGATTATAAACGATGGAGCGATACTCGATGCTGTGATTGATAACGGCAGTGAGGCTGTCATCATAGACGAGGACCTGGCAGTACAAGTTGGACARGGCCTCGATAGGTCATACCTATTCGAGATAGAGACGGCTGATGGGAGAAAGCAACAGATCATTAGGGTTTGTCACAAGGCAGCCATAGAGGTCCAAGGGGTAAGAGTGACCCTGCCTGTCCGACCTGCTCTTGGGTCGAACGTGGCTGAGCCACGTGCATGCGGTGACGATAGAGCGACCTGATAGGAGCCAAACATTGTCCATTAGGAAACCAGACGGGACGCGGGTAATGATTGAGACAGTGGAGCCCCGGGACCCGAGCAACAGAGCAGCTCTCGTTGTGGGTGCGGGACCTAGTGATCAGATTAAGTCGTTACCTATCTCTGGCCACACGGTGCGATTTCGCGAGAAGAGATATGGATCACTGCTCACAGAGGAAGAAGGTCGGATCGTGGAGGTGAAAGATTTAGGGAGTCGGCTAATAGTGGACGGCAACTCGTACCCGAAGGAAAAAGATGAGGAATTTGGCGGTGTGGTATCCGTGTCCTTTTTAAGGTATGACCAAAAAGTAGCTCAAAAAGTTAAGCCAGCGGTGGTGGGCCGCGAGCGATTGGCACTGGAAGGAATATCAGAAGAAGAGATCGCGAAAGAAATCAGAGAAAGAAAGAGAAAGGAGCCTATTCCAGCGAGGTTTCAATACGCTAACCCAGCGAGGTTTCAATACGATTTCACATGTTGCTTGGAATGACGCAGGATGGAAATACGCCCAGAAGGAGAAGGAAGAAGTTATCGCTTTCCTGAAAGAAAAGATGGTTTCCCACGTTGCGGAGCCGTCTGATAGCGCTTACGCTAATCGATGGTTCTTCCTACGAAAGCCGAATGGCAAAATCCGATGGATCCAGGACCTTCAGAAGGTCAACGCGGTGACGATACGAGACGTGGGCTCCGTGCCACACGCCGATTTACTGGCAGAAGGCGCAGCAGGTAGGTCGATCTATTCGGTCTGTGATCTGCTCTCAGGCTATGATGAGGTACCGCTTGACCCTAGGGACAGGCACCTCACAGCTATGCATACGCCATTGGGACTAATTCAAATGATGGTTGTCCCTATGGGATGGACTAATGGAGTAGCCGTTTTTCAGAGAGCCATGGTARCCGTCCTCAAGGACTTCATCCCTGATAAGGTTGAAGTTTTTCTRGATGACTTTCCTATAAAAGGGCCAGTAGACAGGGATGAGATAGAGGTTGTACCTGGAGTTAGAAGATTCGTCGAGCAGCACCGAACGGATATTTGCGCGGTACTCGAGCAGCTGGACGATGCAAATTTAACAGTCAGCGGAACCAAGAGCCGATGGACCGTCTCGACCATAAAGATCTTGGGCTTTATCTGTGACTCGAAGGGACGCCGAGCAAATCCGGCGAAGTTAGACAAACTTCTGAACTGGTCGTCACCGTTGCATAGCCCTACCGAGGTCCGACAGTTTCTAGGAGTGGTCGGTTACTGGCGTATATTCATACGGGGGTATGCAGAGAAGGCTGAGCCATTGAGGTTACTCCTTCGAAAGACTGAAAACTTCTATTCGAATTCTTCACAGAAACTTGTTATGCAAAACTTTAAAGACGAATTTAAGGAAGGAGGACGCGTGTTGGGTGTGCCATTCTTTGACGATGAGACCGAGAGACCCTTCATAGTATCCACGGATGCTGGACCATGTTCAGTAGGTGGTTTGCTGTCTCAGAAGGACGATCGAGGGAAGGAAAAACAGTTAAGATTTGAGAGTAGGACACTTAATACGGCTGAGCGTAACTACAGTCAATTCAAGAAGGAAGTGTTAGCTGTTCTCCGGTGTCTAGACACGTTCAGACACTATATCTATGGRCGACGGTTCATCTKGAGAGTAGAYCCCACCGCGGTTGCCTCTGTCCTCCAGAAGGACTTTAGTCTGACGGACCCGACCATCGCCCGATGGTTAATACGGATTCGGCTATACGATTACACGGGTGAGAGAGTATCGGGTACTAAAAATGCCGTGGCAAATGGACTTTCACGCATCCCTCTCGAGCGTCCGATAGTAGCTGGGGCTCTGTCAATGGCAGAGCCGAGGCGCGCCGAGAGATTTCTAGTTAATCCTTACGAGGGCAAGTACCGAATTATCGGACTATACCTGACGGGAGAGGAGAGTCAAGATTCAGATATCCGGAGGCAAGTAGCCTAGTACTGCCTTAGAGCAGGCCACCTTTTCCGAAGGCCAGTAGGGTCGGGAATGCCCTTACGAGTAGTCTGTGATCCTAAGGAGAGACAGACGATAGTTGAAGAACTTCACGACGGGGTAGTCGGAGGACATAGAGGAGTCAAAGGAACCTACGAAAAGATATGCCGGTTATACTGGTGGGAAGGACAGTATAAGGACGTCGAGAGGTACTGTATGACATGCGAAGAGTGCCAGAAGAGAGCTCTTGTGAAATACAAAGAGCCACTTCATCCATCCTATCCGACCAGACCAGGAGAGAAGGTACACATCGATCTAGTGAAAATGCCGAGAGGGGTAGGCAATATGGACTACGTCGTGAACATACGAGACGATTTCACTGGGTTCGTGGACGGTAGACCTATCAGAAGTAAGACGGCAAAGGAAGTAAAGAACTTTGTCCTGGAGTACTTATCTAGGTATGGTTTTGTCATCAAGATAGTGATGGACAGAGGGGCGGAATTCCTAGCCGACGAGGTTCAGAGCGTGTTTAGGAGAGCCGGTGCGAGAGTTTCGATAGCCACCGCCTATCACCCACAGTCGAACTCCCCTGTAGAGAGGGGACACCAGACTCTGATAGCGTCACTGTCCAAGTGGTGCAAGTGTAAGGTTTGTGATTGGCCACGATATTTTCGATACGCAATATGGAAGGACAACGTCACGGTCCGGGCTAGTACCGGATACCCACCGTACACCTTATAGTTTTGACGACATTGTCCGCTTCCCATAGAATTTCATGTCGACAGCTGGACAACCATCGACTGGGCGGAGGAGATGTCAATAGAGGAACTCTTAGTTGCCCGAACGAGACAAATAGCCTACGGTTTGGAAAATGACCTCATGACAGCGGCAGATCGTCTGGTAGTGGAAAGGGACAAGGGTAAAGAGAGATGGGATAAGAACGTGCGAATCAGGAAAGAGAGGGTGAGCGTAGGAGATATGGTCCTTCTCTACGATGCAGCGCTGGAAAGGACCTGGACCGGAAAGCTTGCCAATAGATGGATGGGACCTTACAGAGTGGTTCAGACACTCGACTAGGGTGCATATATGATCGCAGAATTAAACGGATCCAAGTGGAAGGACCCAGTGGCGGGTGCCAGGTTAAAGCTGTTTAGGCCCAGGCCCGCGCCCATCTTATCGCTGACGAGCCCGAAAGGGAAAGGCAAAGCCAAAATGGAGGATGGATCCCCCTTGAGGCAATTCGGGGCAGGGGAGAGTTCCAAGAAAAGGAAAAGAATAGAGAAGAGAAATGTCAAAGGGTTAGCTTTAGGAAAAAAGAGGAGATGGTTATTCATGCTCAAGCGAGCTAAACGGAGAGTTCGCGTTAGACGTACTGGCGGGTCGACACCCTTCTCGAGACAAAGACAGAAGAGAAAGAGGATCGTGCCGGGGCCAAAAACCAGGAGAGACAGGAGAGTCAAGAAGCATCTTCTTAGCCCCAGGGCTCATAACAAACTGAAGCATAAAACAATTGAACGCCGACGTGGGCGACCTTTACAGGCCGTCACCCTGAAGCTCATCCGCTTCGTCTGACGAGAGTTGCTAGGGCTCGACGGGGGCGTCGAGAAGTGGTCCGGGCTAACTGTCAGGCGGCCACAAGCAGTGCGCCGCCTGAAATCTACGGTTTTGGGACTTAGGCGGGAAGAGGAGTCTGAGTTTCGACGGTACTCTGGTTAGACCAGGCAGCAGAAATTAGGGGAACTCATGGCACCCCTGATTCAAGGCGTACTGAGCCTTACGAGTAACCCTGAAAGATGGCGAGATAAGTGGCCACACTCGGCTCATCTAGGGACCGTCATTCCCGGCCGTTTAGAGAGCTAGACTCGGATTGACCTGCCGCGGAGAGGCATGGCGGGAACTGACTTCGCCGCAACGTTTTTGATGCATACGGCCGGGGCCGAAATGAGGCCTCAAATTTTTGACTATTTTTTATACCTAAACTAAAGATGGGAAAAAAGATTGGGAACAGTCGGAGGGAAATAAAAAACGTAATATCCCTTAGTTCCCTTATTTTTCACGGCATTTGAATTTTGGAAAAAATACCTCGTTATTTTATGTTTCCGACAATGAAATAGAAAACCAGAGAAAAAGATTAAAAATGGTAAGGGAGAGAAGAAAAGAGAGAATTTCAACCATTTGATTAAACTCCCTCAGAATTCATTTTTCGTGAATCTATGGCTAATTCACTATTTCAGACGATAAAATTAAGGAAAAGGGAGAACGATTAAAAATGATGGAACAAACAGGAGCTAATGATTATTCGATGCCTGGTCTGGTTTTGCATGGGATATCCACCGTCAGCTCAGAACCCAGATTTGATCAAATTCCCTAAGCTCTAACTTTTTTTTGCTATTCCCCCGATGATCGAAACTCTCTATGACGCGTCCCCTATTTACCTGATTACTAACCTTACTGAGCCCGGCAGTACGGACGATGACCACATGGATATGGAGAGCGTGGGATCGTGTTACATTGGACCGACAACATGATGTCAGGTTCGGAACCGGACATGTTTGAGGTTCGGCCTGAGCCGGTATTAGCGTACTTCAGGTTCGGGCACCAGGGTGATTTATTTTGAGGGTCGGCATCATCACGACTATTTATTTCAGGATTCGCATCATCATGGCTATTTGTTTCAGGGCCGGAACTGCCACGGTGGCTTACTTTCACGTCTGGAGCCACTATGACGATCTATTTCAGGTTCGGAACCTGGACGGCAGGTTATTCCAGGTTTGGCGCTATCAGGGGTATTTAACTCAGGCTCACCGCCGACATCCTCAGGTACGGCTTGGGCACGACATCGGCACGGTACGGTTGTCTTTTATTCGGGTTGGTTCGGTATCAGATGCAGTTCGACGACGATATAAGTTACGACTTAAAAGGATTAGAGCGATATGACACGGGCCACAGCAGTTCGAGGCGGTTGTTTCACGGGTTGGCATTGAATCAACGTACACACGATCATTGGTTGGTGGAAGCTGCTAAGGCATTGAGTACGGGACAACTTTTATTCACTAGTGTTGGATGACACTGGGCTAATGCTAGTGGCTGCAGAGCCGTCACACAGTCGGTAACAGTTCCGGTATGGGAATGACACGTGTGGTGCTTGGAGTGACATTGGGGCTGTGCTACAATACTCTTGTACCGATGCTGGTGGGACATACTTGCTGCTCGGCACGGAACCTAACATTGGTTGAGGCGGCTCCGGTCCGCTGAGCCTTAAAAATGACTAATTTTGGATATAACTACCAGTCTAACTTCGATGTGGTGACGGTACAGACGACCGCAGCCTGCGACACATGCTCCAGGTTCGAAACTGTTGCTGACCTGACTAATGCATTTGGGATGCTGAGACCGAACCTGGTAATTCTGAGGTGCGATGCTATTTTTTTTATGGACCCTGGGAAAGGGCCTTCAACTAAGGGTTGTGAATCCGTTTTCTCTGGGGGCCGCTCGTACCGACTGGGCCCCCTCTGAGCTCGGTCATTGGGCCTGGGTTTTCCAGCAGTCCATGTCCAGGGACCGCAGTCCTCTTATAGCCTGGGTGCTGGGCCTGGTACCGAGTGCGAGCCCTCAGCAATGAACAGGTACCGCTGAGGACCAGGGTTGACCTTGTGGGGGCTGCGTCCAAGACGGGATATAGGGCAAGACCACGAGAGAACAGGGAGAAGGGGGGACTA